TGCTCACCACGTGTTTCCTCCCCGAAGTCCTCCTTCACAGATCTCAGTCAGACATTCTCATATCCGTGATTTCACTTGAACTCTCAGCAGCCTTCAAGACAGTTGTTACCCTCCCCTTTTTATAGCAAGAGCTAATGGGTGTATCAGTTAACTATTGCTTCATAACACATCACGCTAAAACTCTGTGGCTTAAAATAATTTATTATGGCTCTTGAGTCTATGGGTCTTCTGGGTGGTTTATATGGTCTTCACTCTTCTCATGTGTTTATGGGCTGCTGCAGGCAATGGGGCTCTGTTGATTTAGGCTGGATGATGAGGATTGCCTGATTCTAGGGTGGCCTCATCCGGACATTTCAAAATTGGCAGGTTTTCATCCTCTGGCCAACTCTATCCTACTAGTTCTGCTCATCTAGAAAGTAATAGGGCTGAATTATTGGTGGCAGTTCTTGAACTTGTGTCTGTTTGTGTGCTAATATAGAGAAAAAAAATAAGAAACCTTTTTTCTCTTCTACATTTCTGTAAACTGCATGGCTTTGTTTTCGGATACAATAGAAATGAGTGGGAAGTTAATGGAGTCATTTTTCACTTTGTACTTTCTGATTGTGCCAAGGATCAAAACAAGGACAGCAGAGGATTAAACACATCCACATTATTCCATTTCTGTGTGAAGACCTGTATGAACAGGAAAATTATTTTAGGATAAGTACACATGCAAAAAAATCAACATTTTTTTGTGACTGAGAGAGCTGTCATAGATAAGCGAGTTGCCTCTGAAATATGTAAAAACTTCTACATATGTAAAGTAAAACCTGGCAGCTCAGCCATCTGTGAGTGTGAGAGCTCTTGAAAAATGACTCATTCAGTTAGGCAAAGATATGAAACCGTATCTGAATGCAAAACTATGTGAGTTACAGAGAATCTAGAATGCTGAAGATCAGCACATCTTTTCACCAACATAATGTGTTGAGTTTTTCCATTGTTTTTGATTCTTGGGCTGGTCTAGTAATCAAATTAACATAGGACAGATTAATGGAAGGAAAACAAATTTAATTACACACATAGAGGAGACCCTTAAGAATAGAAGACCCAGGGGCAGTGGGACATTTGAAGCTTAAATGCCATCTTTTTTTTTTTTTTTTAAGTAGGCTCCATACCCAGTTTGGAGCCCATTGCCAGGCTTGAACTGTTCATGACCTTGAGCTCAAGACCTGAGCTGAGATCAAGAGTCGGTCGGACGTGTAACCAACTGAGGCACCCAGGTGCCATCGTGAACTAAGGAATGAGATAAGGACCTGGGTCTTCAAAAGGAAGGACAGTGACTCACGGGATAATAAAAAAGAGCAGATGTTTAGTAATTTGATGTTTGTCCTGCCACACAGGTCATTCAGATACAGAAGTTATCTCTTGGTAATAGCTCTCTTTCTGGGCTTGGTCCCCTATCGAGATTCTTTCAGGTGACTTGAGGGAATGGTAAAAGTTTTTCTCGAGTGTGCTGGGTCTTGATTGCCCTCAGCTTAAAATAGTCCACAGGCCAGAGTGGCACACTTTGGGCAGATGTTCTGAAATGCTCCAAGTGTTCAGAATAGATGTGGGGTCATGAAAAAAATTAACAAATACTACAGAAGTCCATGAGAAAAATACAAGTCATGAATACTGTTTCTTACAAATAGTCTGATTTAGTATGTAGAATTGAATATTGAAGGCCCAATACAGATCATTTAGTTGAATGCCATTTTGTGTATTAAAACATTAAAAAAGAACCTGAGACTCAAGAGAGATTGAAGCAAGTTGCCAACGGGAAATAGAGAGTATGGGACACAGCTGGGACCAGACATACAGGATAGCGACCCCCCCCCCCCCCCAGTTTCATCGCTGTCTTCTGGCCGTGGTAGCCTCTTTACTGGTGAGAGAAATCCTATACCGATTTTAGTGTTTTTATATTGCATTTATACCTAAACTATCATCCTGTCTCCTGTGTAGGCTCAGGAATGTATTATTACCTTAGGTGTTCCAAATGTATATTCAAGCTTTTCCTATCCAGAAAATTGACATCTTGATGATTTTCATGAGACAAAATATTTAAGACATTTTTCATGAGATATTTAAGGCAAATCACAAGGCTGTGTTTTTTAGAATTATCTTTTCACGTGATAATTTCTAAAATGTGCAGTTTTGCTCATTGTTTTATGTATCTTACCTCTGTAGGGGTAGTCAAATTCTCCAAATCTGTGTTGAAATGGATATCCTTCATGGTTGCCCTTTATTTTATTTTATTTTATTTTATTTATTTTATATTTTATTATTTTATTTATTTCATTATTTATTTTTTTTCACCCTGTGTACCAGAAAACATTTATTTTCCCCTAATATTGTCACAAACTTAGTTTAATGAGTTATTTCTTAGTTAAATCCAAATGACCAAATGACTTTTAGTGTAGATCGGTTGGCAGCAAATTCTTCTAGCTTTCCTTTATCTGAGGCTCTCTTGATTTCCTCCTTAGTCTTCTTTTTCAATTTTTTATTTAAATTCTATTTAGTTAACATATAGTGTGATACTGGTTTTAAGAGTAGCTTTTTTTTAAGAGTGATTCATCATTTCCATATAATACCCAGTGTTCAGCACAAGTGCTCTCCTTAATACCCATCACCCACTTAGCAATGCCCCACCTGCCTCCCTTCTTCAACCCTCGCTTTGTTCTCTATAGTAAAGAGTCTCTTAAGGTTTGCATCCCTGTCTCTTTTGTTTCCCTTACCCAATGTTCATCTGTTTTGTTTCTTAAATTCTACATGTAAGTGAAATCATTGTCTAACTCTGACTGACTTATTTCACTTAGCATAATACACTCTAGCTCCATCCATGTCATTGCAAATGGCAAGATTTCATTCCTTTTGATGGCTGAGTAATATTCTCTCTCTATATATGTATATATGTATATATGTACACACACACACACACACACACACACACACCACCTCCACTTATCCATTCATCAGTTGGTAAACATTTGGGTTTGTTCCATAATTTGGCTATTGTTGATAATGCTGCTATAAACATCAGGGTGCATATACCTCTTCAAATCAGTGTTTTTATCCTCATTTTAAGGAGGAAAATTTACTTGATGACTTACCTCCATTTCCCCCCCCAAAATAATAAAGGACATTGTTCTTAAAAAAGGTTGATACCTTTTAGTCATTTATTGGAGAATCAGTTCTCTTTCTGGCAAATAGGGAAATCCATCACATGAAATAATAATAATAATAATAATAATAATAATAATAATTAATAATTAATAAAAACCTAACCTGTTCGGTTTTCCTTGCTCAAAAGGCTGGGAAAAACCAATGAAATAAAATTTTTCTTCTATTTATCTAATGTCAATATGGAATTGAATATTTCTCAGATTCAAAACTATATAGTAAAGTTTTAATTTTGTCTAGAGAGGAAAACCTAACTCCAATTTAGAGTAATCTAAAACAATGATCAGTTAGAATAATTTCAGTTTATATTTGGAATTGAATATATGAATAGTTTAGTAACAATTAAAATTTACCAATTAAGTTTTATTTAGACTGGAGATAAAGTTTATCTGCATATGTTATTGGAAGATCAGAGTATTCAGGATTCTTAATGATGTAAATATGTAAATATGTAAAACTTTTCAGGGAGGTAACATGGTAAGTAATGAAGGGTGGGGACATTGGAGTCATTGGACTGATAGGAAGTCCCCTGTCACTGTTACTCAAGCAATCCAAGCAAGTTCCTTAATTTCTATTTCCCATTTTGTAAAACTGGGGTGCTAACACTACCCACCACAATGGGATCGAGATAATTAGACATCGTACCTAAAATGCCTTGTATTTAATGAGAATTTAGCTATTACTGTTTAGATGGCTAGGCTAACAGCGTACCAGCTGCATCAGTTTGGGGAGCTGATATAATCAAGTACCACACAGACTGGATAGTTTATAAATAACAGAAAAAAACATTTTTCTTTGTTCTAGAGCCTGGAAGTCTGAGATCAGGGTGTGAGAATGGTCAGGTTCTGGTGAGAACCCTCTTCCAGGTTGCAGACTGCCAACTTCTCCTATCCTCACATGATAGAGAGTGAGTGAACTAGCTCTCTGTCCTCTTCTTATAGAGGCACTAATTTCAAACATGAGGGCTCTGCTCTCATGACTTAACCACCTACCAAAATGCCCACTTCCAAATACCGTGACCCTGGGGATTAGGTTTCAACATATAAATTTTGGGGAGACACAAATGTTCTATTCATAACACATACCATCTGGGAGTTTTTAAATTTTTTTCTGTTTGTTTGTTTTCAAGCCTAAACATTTATGCCAGCAGCTCATTTAATTATCATTTACTTTTTTCTTTTAAAAAATAATAGTTGAAAGAGAAGAATATATGATTAATTGAAGGTAGGCAGAAAGGATGGTTACATAACCAACCTATTAATCTTTCTCTATCATCTATATCTATCTATCTATCATCTATCTAATATTTATCATTTATCTGTTACATTTTTACTATTCTTCTTTGAACTGGTGGTAGCATCGTGCTGGTTTCCTATTGATTAGTGATTTAAATAAAATCTTTGACCTCTGTTCATCTTATACCTGTATGAGATATAAATCTTCTTTTAAAAATGATCTTTTAACAACTACACAAAGAAAACATTTTGTAAATTGCTAAAAATAAGCATTTTTTTTAAACCTCATCTCACTAAAAAGTGGCTAGGTTCATGTTTTTCTGCCAAGTGTCAGAAAAATATGTTACTCTGCATGCTTGATTTACTCCAAGTTAAATGACAAGTCATGCCTGTTACCAAGAAAGATATAACAACTTTTTGTTTGTTTGCTTTTAAATTCAGTGCTCATGTGTGAATTATGTCACACTGAAATCTGTAGATGTAAATGGAAATTTAAGATTTACATTTCAAATTTCTTAATATAAACATGGAACCACAAGCAACCAGGTGGCATGCATATACCCTTTATTGAAGAGTAGGGCGCATGTTTAGTTGGTGGCTCTGTAGTTTACATGGATCTCCGGGTTCACATCACAAACAATGTTCAAAAGCTGTTTCAACACACTTTCCATGTATTTGTTGTAGCTTCCATTCAGTTCTTTTATCTTCCCTAGTGTTTGCTCTTCTATTTCTTCTGAGACATTACTTTGAGAGCCCATTATCTAACAAAATAAAACACACAGAATTCACCACACTACACATCGTACTAAAGTATAATTGCTTTACTAAACTTGTTTCGGCTTATTTATTAATGCTTGTTCTTTGGGGTACACACTGTGTATTATTTTTCCAGAACTTTCTTAGAGAATGGATATAATGACAAATATCCTAAGTGGGATGGATAAACGTTCCCAAAAATGAAAGGTGACCATGGTCAGTTACTTGTGCTTTGAGGCTGGTCTCCACACAGTACAAATGGAAGGCACATTCACATTCATTATACCCTACTTGGAAGTGTTTTCATGTATTAGATTTTTCATTATTTGAAATAGTTGCAATTTGGTTCCTGTTTGTTCCCCATTGCTTATTTTTCTGAATTAAAAGTGTGGAAAATAAAGTTGAAAGACACCATTAAACCCATTTTGCTGGTTTTTAAAGAGCAAATAACTGGTTTGCCAATTTTCAAAATCTATCATCTAAACTGAGTATTGTCTTTCAGGAAAATACAGTCATCGCATGTCCAGGAAGACACTTCGACATGCATAGGTATCTCTTTTGGGGTAATAGGTATAATTTAGAAATTTTTAATATAAGTTGATTTTCTTTCAACTTAAGATATACTTGTCCATTTGGTGACATTATATTTTTAGATGCAGTTTAATATATCTTTCTGGTTGCTCTTTCATCGGCAGGGATTCCCAGTATTTCCCATTATCTCCAAGAGATTTGCCCAAAATACAATTTCGAAAGGGAATTACCAATTTAAAGGGACTCTGCAGTGAAGCCTTTTGTAAAGCTATCCTTTGCTAAAGCAAATAATCAGCTCCTAATTTATCTCCTCTGAAAACTCAGCCTTTCTTAAACATGGTATTGTTAAGGCGACACAGCTGGTTTTTGTTTGTTTTTCTCTTCTGTGAGTGTTTACACACAAGGAAGGTATGCATTTAGTTCAATCCCTGAGACTCCACTAACATTGACTTCTATTTCAGGGTTGTTAGACTATTCTAAATTCTAGAATTCACATTATCTTTCTGGGTCCTAAACTTGAAATCAAATGCGATTGAGGCCATCAGGTTCAAGTTCTCTTCTGTTTATGCTCCATGCAATAAGGGCTTCCCAGTTCAAAGAAAATCACTTAAGGAAATAGAGCTTCTAAGACATCAAATAGCTTTTATAAAATAACATTTTGATAAGTGAGAATACAAGGAGCAGAGACATATGGACTGAATTTCCCTCGCTAGGAAGAAGTTTAAAAATGGAAGAGAACTACCTACCAAAATAATCTTACCAAAATCTATTTTTTTCTTCTGAATTCACTATCTTAAATGAGATTCTACCAAACTCAAAAAAAAAAGAAGTCTTAAACCCAATGTCTTTAGTGTTGAAAAATTTAGAAGACAAACTATTATAAAGTTATTATAGCAGTGTTAAAAATAGCCATTATTAGGCTAGATTGCTGCAACTATCCTGTAGGACCTTGGAAAAGTTCATTTCAACCTTAGGTTCTTTATCTCAGCATTGTCCACTAGAAATGTGATATGACCTACAAAGCAAGCCCTAGAAGTAATTTTTTAAAAGATTTTATTTATTTATTTGAGAGAAAGAGAGGGAGAGAGAGAGGGAGAGAGAGAAAGAGAGCATGCCCTACTGATCGAGGAGCCTGCCTCATGATCCTGAGAACATGACCTGAGTTGAAATCAAAGACTCAGTCACCTGAGCCACCCAGGTGCCCCAACAGGTCATATAACTAATTTTAAATTTTTACACGGCCACTTTAGAAAGGTAAAGGGAAGTTGGTAAATTAACTTTAATAATATATTTTATTTAACCTGATATATTCTATTATTATTTTGATGTACAATAAACAAAAATTATTGCATTATTGTTTTTCATTCCAAATTTTTGTAATCTGGTATGATTTTACACTTACAGAACATCTTCATGGGGAGTAGCTACATTTCTTTTTTTTTAAATTAAACTTAATTTAAATTCAATTAACTCACATATATTATTAGTTTCAGAGGGTAGAGGTCAGTGATTCAGCAGTTGTATATGACACCCAGTTCTCATCACATCATGTGCCCTCCTTGATGCCCATCACCCAGTCATCCCACCCCCATGGACTAGCTACATTTTGAAAGTTCTTCAGCGATATGTGAAATGGCCACCATTTTTGACAGGGTAGCTCTAATGCAAAGATGGTAGCTACTGCTATTAGTGGTATTCTTCATGTACTTTTCTGAGAAAACATGATGATTTTCTGAAAGGATTATAGTCAAGATGGTACATTTCGAGGAACTTAGCACTGAGCAACTAATCACTAAATGTCAGTGATTTCACTGCTTGTGTTGCTTCTGCTTTTTAATTTTCAATCCATTTTACACTTTCAGAAATACTGGAATACCCTTAAAAAGTAGCCCAAAGTTCATGTCTCATCCTGATTAAATATATTATTTTTGAGTTCATTTGATGCACAGTAATTTGATTTTCTACAGTGTTTCCTAAACATTACAATACCAGGGACCAACCATATACTGGTTTTTTTTTTTTTACTTTATTTTTAAATTTTAGCTCCAGTATAGTTCACATAGAGTGTTATATTAATTTCAGGTGTACTCTACAGTGATTCTCCAATTCTGTATATTACTCAGTGCTCATTAAGATAATTGTACTCTTAACATCCTTCACTATTTCACTCATCCATCCACCCACCCGTCCTCTGGTACCGTATACTATTTTATTTTATTATTTTATTTTTTTTCCATATACTATTTTAAATGGCGTTCCTCAGGAAGAATTCCATACCTTGATATATGTAGATGGCGTTGATTTAAGCCATACAGGAAAGTAAAGGAATGAACATAACCTGCACAAAGGGTCAATCGCCTTGTCCACTGTTGTAAGTGTTGCAAATGCTGCCTGAAGCATCATAGATGCTCAATGCTTGTTTGTTGAACTGAATAGACTGATCAAAACTCTAGGCATCATAGAGAACTTATTACCTATGTTCTGTTGCTTTTGTTGGCAGAAGCCTGCTATCTGAATGTTTGGGACATGAAATAAATTAGCAATTGAGAATTGTGTGACACGGGGTGGTACATTTTGTCAAAGGGTACCCTTTAAGGACTTCTCCCTGTTAATTGCCAAAACTGCAATGTTGAGATTGATGCATATAGATTTAAAGCTAAGTGACTTATGGGGTTGGCAAAATCTTTCAACATTCAATATGTTACTTTACAAATTGTTCAGATGTTCCTGTTCAAGAGAAAACAGAGAGAGGCACTTGGGTGGCTCAATCGGTTAAGCTTCTGACCCTTGGTTTGGCTCAGGTCATGATCTCATGGGTCCTACATTGGGCTTCCCACTCAGTGGGGAGTTTGGTTAGAGATCCTCTCCCTCTGCCCCTTCCCCTCCTCTCATACACTCTCTTTCTCTCTCTAAAATAAAATAAATATCCCCCCCCCTTTTTTTAAAGAAAGAGAAAACAGAGATTCGGGTTCAGGTCTAATTATCATAAGCAGAACACAGTTTTGCATTCTCAGTCTATGGTTGCTTCTTCAGTATGTCCCAGGCAACCATTTTCATGTCTTCTATTTAGACTCATGGTCCATCTAACTTCTACTTACATTAACAATAGATTTTGTGTTTCCACTGTTGTCCAGATTTCCTTGTAGCAGTGTAATATCTTCTTTAGTAGAAGAAATTGTATGTGGTAACAATGATAAGCAAGTGATAAGTAAATCCTTAAAACAATATTTGTTGTTATACAACCCACTTTGGGATACCTGCTTCTGTTGATATGTCAGGGGAATTGAAAGAACACATACATTAACAAGTGCTAAGACACAACTAAAAAAAGTAACATCGAGGTGTCTCACCCACAGCAGGCAGAAAACTGGCTTCTTGGGTCTTCTCCCAGACCTCCTACTTGCCCTGGGTTAATGATGATGGGATTTAACAGGAACGGCAATATGTCTGACATATGGAGGTCATGCCAAGGAAAGAGTATCTTGTACTAATGGTTTTACAATATGCTTGAAGTAGCAGAGGCCTAAACATGTTGACCTTTCTATGTGAGCTTTTGATCAACTAGCTGGAAAATTGGCTTAGAGCTCCAATTATGGGAGCAATGAAGAGTTTTAATTATTTTCCAAAGCAGAGAACAAATATCCTGAACCAGATTTACATCTTATGAGATCCTTCTGGAGAAATGGTATTTCAAGAGATTTGACCCAGCTACTTTCTAAAATTACGATCGGTTTTGTTATTACTTAAAAATAGAAGTGGGTACATCAGAAATATTCGGCATAGAAAAATAAATGCTGGTTGGTATTAAGGATGACTGTTTCCTCAGGTCCCAATATGTCATGGGTCATGGCAGGACTCAATACGAAAGATAAAGGCACAGAAGAAATGTTAGTTACCCTATACTCTCAATGAATATTTATTGTGTACTTACTATGGAGCAGACACAGCTGGGGAAAGTAACAGAACAAAACATAGAACCCGCCATTTTGGTGCTTATAGTTCAGAAGGAAAGATAGGCAATAAGTAAAAAATGTAAATATATAGTATATCTAGTAGTGATACATGATAGGATTATAATGGGGAATTCCTTTCTTAATGAAAGACACAGCTTTAAGTAAGGTGTTCAGAAAGGAGAGGTAACAAAGGAACAGAGATGAAAAGATGCCTATGTCTAAAAGAAGGTGATTCCAGGGAGCAAATATAACATGTGCAAAGGTGCAGTTGGCAGTGGTGTGCTCAGTCTGTTTGAGGAAGAAGGAAGATAGAGATGGCTGGAATAGAGCAAGTAGAGACAAAAGTAATAGAAAATGTTACAAATGACCAAAGTAGATCTTGTTGCACATTGCTGAAAAGTGTTCTTGTATTTCCTTATGATTTCCTTTTCACTTGGCTGACTTCTTTCAATAAATCTTTCATATGAATATAAAGAAATGCCTTTTCCCTACATTAGCATTTAAAAAATATCTGTGGTTCATAGTAAAAAGTAAGTGCATGACATTTCCAGAAGTGACAAGGGCCGATCATGGAGGGCTGAATGCACATGTATAGACTTAGGAGTTTATGATTCCTTTGTAAAAACACTGATAAGAAGAATTTATTTTAGCTGAGTGGTCCACTTTGTTCTAGGAAGGACTTTTCATGTTAAGAAAGAGCCCACAGGAAAAGTTTTTCCTGCTGTGGGGTTCAATTTACCTCCACCAGCCCTGGATCCACTCCCACTGAAATAAAAGTTGTAAATAAGGGGATTTCCAAAGTGCTCGTGGTTCACCTTACAGTGTCAGGCTTTATTTATGTTTCTACTGAGAGGAAAAAAGAAACCATATCAAATGACCTTTAGTTTGTAACACATGGAATTTAATAATTTTTTTTAGTCCATGTTGCAACACAGAAGGGAGGATGTTGGTTCTGAAAATTTCATGCATTTATTATTATTTTTAACTGTAAACTGTAGATATTTTAAAAATGCTACTGGGGGGAAATCCTTTTAAAATATGTTCTTTTTTTTAATAAAAAAGATTTTTATGTATTTATTCATGAGAGACACACAGAGAGAGGCAGAGACACAGGCAGAGGGAGAAGCAGGCTCCATGCAGGGAGCCCCATGTGGGACTTCATCCCAGGACCCCGGGATCACGCCCTGAGCTGAAGGCAGACACTCAACCACTGAGCCATTTAGGTGTCCCTAAAAATATTTTCATGAATGATTTGTTGAAAGAAGCCAGACAATTGAAAAGAAAAAAAAAATACCAGAAGACTTTTCAGCACTATGCAACAGTACTACTTTGGTCATGTGTAAATCTTGAATTCACCAGAGAAGATCTGTCCTGAAAAACTCATTCTAGAGCGGTGCGCAGCACTTTTTATTGATTGTAGTAGTATAAACACTAATAAACAACAACAAAAATGTTTTCTGAAGTGTTTTCCTTAATAAAATGTGTTAGCCAATCATCTGTGGTGGGAATAATACTTTAAGTAGGCCCTTCCATTTGGATATTTGAAAATATGATTTTTAATGTGTGTTGTATATTAGATATTAACTGTTGATGGACACTTTCTACGCAAATCCCAAGGCCTTGAAAATGGAAATGTAAAATCAGTAATTCTGTAATGTGTTAGATTTAGTTTGATGTTGAGGCTTCGTTGAATTGCACCTGCTCAATCCAGTATATTTCCCCCCCTTGATATTATAATCTATGCTGCATAAAAAAAGCTGTGCTTACTTTCTTACTTACCTTGGATTGTTTCAGTCTAAACTCCTTATCTCTCTGCATTCTGTACTGGTCGATTTCTGCCATGGCTTCTTCTTTAGCTTGCTTCAGTCGCTTCTCTTTTCCTGAACATTGACAGTGGCATAGAAGGAATGTATTTTTTTAAAAAAATAGACATCGAATTTCAAACTTGATTTGTAAAAAAAAAAAAAAAAAAAAAAAAAAAAAAAAAAAAGGTGAGGTACATTATTGATAAATTTTTCTAAAATGGCCAACTTCATTAAAAAACAATATTGAAAAATAGCTTAGTTTGTCAATTGGGTTTTCTAGAACGTGGAACTGACAACTTTCTTTCGCGCTTGCATGTTTAAGTAAAATATCTGCCCATTTACTCACAGCAGTCACAGCCAGATAACAGATTTTAGCTGTCACTTATTCGAAAAGACATTATTTGGTCAGATTTTCTGTCCTGATTTGCTGCCAGGAATCCTTCAGTCCACACCAACTGGATCCTATTTAACACTGGCAGATCTCCAAAAGCACTGCAAACATGCAAGTCAGACTCTATCAAACTGACTTACAGTTTTTTAAAGCGTTTTATTGGGATTTTTTTTCTTAGCATTTTGTTGATTCTAGAATGTCTGATTAAGCCCCACAACACATCAAAGTAGGCATTTTTTTTGTAGTAGCTTTCTCTGAGGGGGACTTGAAAGTGGCCGTAAAACCAATTGTTTTTAATGGTTGGGAGATTTAGTTAAATAGCTCTCTTTTCTTTTATTAATAGCAAAGGTGTAAGCCTTAAGCCAGCAGACAGCAATGCAGATGAAAGTTTCAGACAAATACAATGCTGCGGGGATCATTAACTAAGCACATGACGTTTTTTTCTGACAACCAGAGTAAATTTGGGGGCTTATAGACTGATATTAATTGCTGCTATGCCCCCACCACCCACCACCTTCAGGGGGTTAGGTACTACTAATGCTTTGTGATCATTAAAACTTTAAAGAAACTCTAAACTGTATTAAAAAAAATTTATCTGAATCTATTGTCCTTCAGTTTCAGTTAAATGCTTTTATTCTTTTGCTTGTTTAACATTCTCTGATAATGTCTCAAGCTTTTGTTTATAACTTTGGTCAACTGTTATGTTGCATAGACTTTGAACTAAATAAATGTGTTCTCATTGAGTAGCATAAAAGGAAACCTTAACGTAAACTTCTGTTCTCCACATACATGTTTTAATATGCCTTTATTTTTATAGATCTTCGTAGTATTTGAATGTAAATGGTTTCTAAATTTCTTTTCCTGCTAGGCATGAGTTGCTTTGCTAGTCGCTGTATCTATCATCTATCTATCTATCATCTATCTATCATCCATCATCTAGTAAAGATAGATTCACTGAGTTATAAATTGGCATGTGTCTTTTTTAATACCTATTGCCCTTGAACAGAACTGAGAAAATCTCATTCAGAACAGATATTTAGCTTTGTATTTACTCCCCATAAAATCCAAGATCTGCTGGAAATTAGTGCTCTTGTGGTGCTTGAGGCTTAATGGAACATTAACAGCAATGCTTACTTTTTTCCTACTTAATTAATGCTCATTAGCATTTTATATATACAGATTCCTTCATGCTCTACATTTCTATTTTGTGTCAACCAAACACATTCTATTCACACAAATACATCATATGATAGGAGGGGAAACTATTCCTTGATCCCCAGCTCGCTCTCTTACCACTGCTTGTCATTAACATTCGGACAAAAATATACTTAAGATGTATTGACATTTTCCTAGTAATAATGGGTTGTAAGATACATAATCACTTTATAAATTAGTTTAGTTTAAAAACTCTCCATGTTAATTACATAATATGTAAAAATAATGGTTTCAAAATCACAACTCTACTACGTTAAAAATAATAACAATAAGAACAGGAAAACCTCTGTGTGCCCCATCCCTGAGCACAATCCATGCTCCACTCAAAAGGCTGTATATCAGCTCCATCCCACAGTGACAGGCTCAGAGTATGTCTGTGATTCCCCCGTCATGGCACCAGTCACCTGCTGGTTCTCATTCAATTAAATAGGAGAGCCACAGGGAAATCGCTGCTGGCACAGCCATTTTCTGGACAGACTCAGCAGCTGCCACTGTGTGAGAGCCTGCATATGCTACACCTGATTTAATCCAGTGGAAGAAACTGGAGCCTAAAGCCTGCTGTTTCACTGGAGGTGAAGCAAAATGCATGCATCAAATCAGCTCATATTAACCTCTAGCTTGCTTCGCTGTCTCTGTATGAAGATTTCTAAATTTTAATATTATACCTCTTTCCTCTTAAGCATTAAAAATATGGCTGCTGTGACCCAAAAAGCATTTAGGCTTATATTCTTATTTCTCAATGCTTTCTGTATCAAACATGGGGGGACCATATGGAACAGTCCAGATATTAAATATGACAATCAAATATTTGGTCCCAAAGTTCCTACAAGGTCCTAGATGCTCACCAGACCAAATGTTCTTTTTTTTCTAATTTTAATTTTTTTTATTTTTGATAGGCACACAGTGAGAGAGAGAGGCAGAGACATAGGCAGAGGGAGAAGCAGGCTCCATGCACTGGGAGCCCGACATGGGATTCGATCCCGGGTCCCCAGGATCGCGCCCTGGGCCAAAGGCAGGCACCAAATCGCTGCGCCACCCAGGGATCCCCAGACCAAATGTTCTAATGCTTGGTTTAGAAAATGCGGTTATCTTATGCATAGTGATTTTAAATACTACTAAAGCAGGTGCTCCAGAGCAGTGCAGGAAAGGACGGTTTTGATTTGTCCATCCATCATTCATTCAATGTTTATTGAACATCTACTGTATTCAGCATGGGGTTACCAACAGAGGATAGAGAAATGCATATGATATGGTCCTTTCCTCCAGTTGGCATAAATACAGTGTAACTTGGAAATGTGTACAAGATACTCTGGCTTTCCAAAAGGAAAATATAAAATACATAAAATTGTGAAGAATAGATTTAATCAAGTATGAAAACAATGGAACACATATTTTGGTTCTACTTTTTCCATGGCAGTTAAAAATCACAAATTTATGGAAATTTGCATTACCTAAATTCTAGACAACCTGTGCTTGCCGTTCATCTCAATAGTCATGTTATGGCTTATGTTTTTATGGTAAATCAAAAATATAAACTGGAACCAGATATGTAGAGTGAGGGTTAGAAGAGGCTGTCAAGGGAGGTCAGGGAAGACTTCTCAAGAAGGAAGGAAGGATAGAGATGAATGGACTTTATAGGCAGGACAGCAATGAGGACAAATAGTCCACTTTGGAGATTAAAGCAAGGAAGGGAGACCCTTTCTAAGACAATTTTGGACACTCTTTGCAAACACCTGCACCTTAATAACACCATTCATTTTTACACATGTGTCTTGTCATACAAGTATGTCTTATGCTCAACATGCCCTTATTGAGATATTTTACAGGAAACTTTGTGGGAAGGAAAGAGAAGGAAAGTTGTTTGATTTCCAGGTGATTTGTGGGAAAAAATGAAAAAATTTTGGGTTAAAACCAAACTTTCTGTGAAAATAGGAAGAAGGTGTTGATGCTCAAGTATGGACTCTTCTTGGCTTTTTGGTTAGGAGAGGCCAAGTGAATTGAATGTCCCAGATGCAAAAGAGCCCTGGAGACACAGAGAACCCTTTTCTGTTGACTGGATTATTCAGTTGGTTCTGGAATCTTTTTGTGACGAGAAAGATGAGTTTCATCTCTCATTTTATTTATTTTTTTAATTTTTTTTAATTTATTTATGATAGAGAGAGAGAGAGAGAGAGAGAGGCAGAGACACAGGCAGAGGGAGAAGCAGGCTCCATGCACCGGGAGCCTGATGTGGGATTCAATCCCGGGTCTCCAGGATCGCGCCCTGGGCCAAAGGCAGGCGCCAAACCGCTGCGCCACCCAGGGATCCCTCATCTCTCATTTTAAAAGAGAATCAAAATTATACACGAGGCACAACTGCAGTGAGACATTAGAAGCCTTATAACTCTGAGCCTGAGTTTTCTCGTTTATAAAACAGATTTAATAATCTGTTGCAATGAATCATTACACATATTAGGAAAAAAATGTAAATAAAACGCTTGACAAGGAACATCTATTTGATTATTTTTAATCATTATTAGGAAAATAAGCCCAGTTTCCAGGGACCTTTGTTAGGGACAAAGACAATGAATACACCGTGAGTTGGAGGAACGGAACTCAGACTGTCACTAGAAAAGCCTCTTTAGGCTTCCCTGAGGGTGTCTAAATAGAGGTATTGAGAGCATCTGGACAGACAAGTTTGGGTCCAGAAGCAAGTTCTGAAATCAAGACAAAGATCTGCATGTCAGTCCTCTGGGTTTGTGAATGTGCTCGTCATATCAGTGGGATTTGACCTGAAACCAAAAGAGAGTGTACCGAAGGAAGAGGAAAAAAGAGCTAGGGTCTCAATCTGGGGAGATGCCAACATTTGAGAGATGAAAAAAAGGAGGAGGACCCTCAGGAAGAGCCTGAGAGTTAGTGGTCAGAGAAGTAGGGGAAACCAAAAGAACATTCAAGAAGGATGTGGCCAACAGTGTCAAATGCTACAGAGAATGGAAAAAAGAGACATTTAAACAACCAATATTATGAATATCCTCTATGTGCCACACACTGTTTCTAGATCTATAAATACATCAGTGAAAACCATAAACAGGCAAACTTTCTTTTCTCATGGAGCTTGTATTCTGAACATATTAAAGGGAGATAAGAAACAAGCAGTAGATGATATGATATAGATAACAAGTACTAAGAAGAAAGAAGGAGTATGAGAGATAGACCGTGGGTGCTAATCTAGGTAAGTCATGTCTTTTGGATGAAATGATATAGGAGCAGAGACCTGAAGGAATAAGACAATTAACCATGTGAGTATCTAAAGGGGAAGAACATTCCAAGCAGGGCCAACAGCAGATGCAAAAACCTTTGACACGCTCAAGAAACAGGAAACACTCTATAGTGGCTGGAACAAAGCGAACAAGATGATTGAATGTTAGGAGATGATATCAGAGGGGTAGCAGTGGGACAAGGTCAACAGAGCTCACGGGGGCACGATAAA